CACCATTGGAACAACTCGTATCAGATTGAAGAAATAGCCTTTTTTTTCCCATCAAATTATGAAAAAAAATAATTCACCGTTGGAGATGCTCTTACTTGTTTAAAATGTATTTGGAATATATATATATAAACTAGTATAATTACTCGTACTATGCATGGATATAAATAAATAATCAAAATTTAATTTTTAAAATTAAATAATATTTTAAAAAAATTATCTACAATATTTTGCAAAAATGATTTAAAATAAATTAAATTTTATTCATTTTTATCACAGTTACATATAAGAGAATTTTTTTTATTCTTATGTCATTAATTGTGTGCTCTAAGTTCTTAATAAAAAATTCATGTCATAATATAATTGGTAAAAATTAAAAAATAAATCACAAAAATTATATTTATGATAAAATATAAATACATTTCATTTTATGAGTTTCGTAAATTTAATTTATCATATGATAGTGGTAAATTATATCTGTTAATATATTAATTCTTTTCATGTTTTGTAAGGTCTAAAAATTTGTCTAGTATCAAAATTATAATTTGTCTTATGTTATAAAATTTATGTAAAAATGGATTAAGATTTACTTGTGGTATTAAATTTGGGCTTAACATTAGATTTACACCAATTTGTTCTTCATCTAATTATTAAAAATTGTTTTGGTTTATTCCCAATTTATATGAATCATTTGACTTGTCTATTTATTAAATTAGTAAATAGATATTTGTAAGTATTTTTTATAATAAAAATAAGAAATATGGACATATTTTATGCATACTTATTAAAAAGTTTAAACTTAGTTTAAAACAACTATATATTTATGTTTAAAACAATTAAATGAATAGTTATATATATTTATGTATGAAAAAATTATTTAAGATAGAGCCATCCTATATTGTAGGTCATATTCTAGCCCTAATAGATTTAAATTTTGTATTTAAATTATATCATAATTTATTAGTTCGTGACTAATATGAGCTAATTTGGGAGCTCTAATATTAGATTAAATACTAAAAAGTAACTAAGAAAATTTAGTTCAAGTTGATTTTTTTGTCAATAATTCTTGATTTAAGCCTAGTCCTTAAAGAATCGTTTACTTCATGTCCAATTCATGAGTTAGTAGAGCCACTTATTAATTTAATTTTTAATTAGTAAATATATATATATATATATATAATATATATATTTTTTTTAAAAAAAAAATTATAACAAAAATAGGAAATATGTACATATTTATTTGGCATATTTATTAACAATTTTAAAATTAATTAACAAATTATGTACTTTATTCTTAAAAGGATAAATTACATTGGTTGTCTCTATATTTTAACTCTTGTGTTATTTTTGTTCTTGCAATTTTAATTTGCTCGATTTTGACCCTAAACTTATAATTTTGCCTCAATTTGGTTTAATTGTTATAATTGCTAGTGTTATTTATTTATTTATTGAAAATACACACATGAGTAACATCTGTTATACTTTTATAGATAAAATTATAAATTTGTTCAACTCAGTAAGTTAATCTCAATCAACTCAATAACTATTTTCTTTCAAAAACCTTAATCGATATTATCAATTGAATCAAATTAATACAAAATCTAAAATGAAGGTAAAAATCAACCTAATTGAAATTACATAGACTAAATTGACACGAGAGACAAAATGCGGGAACTATCGATATAATTTACCCTTCTTAAAATATGTTTAATATTGATTATGTCAATATTAAGATATATTTATATTTGAAAAACTATTTAAGACCAGATTAGGTTAGAACCTGAATAAAAAAATTGATGGCTTATTAAAAATATTTAATAATTATAAATTTAAATTTGATCAAATTTTCATTTAAATTTTTTCATAATAGAATTAGGTTGTTTGATAATTATAATTTATAGTTCCAATTTTTTTTTTAAAAAAAAATTATATATAATTATAATTTCTTTTGAACTTTCTTTTTCAATCTCAACATAGTTATAACTTGAATTTGGTTAAAATTTATTTTTGACTTCTCATCTACAAAAACTAACAATGAACATAAATTATTTTTTGAACATCCTAAAAAATAAATAAAGAAATATATTATCAATAATAATAATAACAAAACATATTTTTCCTTATCACGTGATGTCTCACCAATATATTAATAATAGACATTACTAATAAAACTCATTATGATAATACAACAATAATACATCAGATGGTAAGTAATATGTGATTACAATAATTTTTTATACTTATACAAAAAATCCAAAATTATATATATAAAAAAATAATATATGATCCATGTTCAATTTTTATATAGTAAAATTCACACTTAATCTCAACCACTCATTAGTTTTTCAAATTAATCCATCACCCAAACTATCTACTATCTTTTAAGTAATATTCACATTTTTAAAACTCACCCAAACAATACTCAAACTGAGCTTCTCATTATCTTTGTTGTTGCCACACATCCACTAACCACTACGCAGATCCGGTCTTTTTTTTTTAATCTTTGCACATATAAAAAGATAATGTTGAGGAAATAAAAAGGTACTGTTAGAATTTTAAAGAGTTAAAAATAAAAAATAAAAAAATACGTGATTTTAAGTTTTCTTACTCTATGAGAAGGTAATTTATATGTAAATTGGGCTGAGCTGGATAATGGGCCGTTCTGTGGGCCGTGGTGAAAAGGGCTTAGTAAAGTGGACCGCAGTCCAGGTGTTAGCTCGATCCAAGTGTGAAAGTGGACTGCAATCCAGGTGTTAGCTCAGTCCAAGTGTGGTAACGGATCAAGTGAAGATAGTTATCTCGGTCAGAGTATTCGGAGCTGAGGTGTGATGGCTTCACATGGTGGACCTCGCTCTGGTTAACACGGTGGTAGCTTGTTGAAGACTGTGGTTAGTTCGATCTCAATGGGCACAACTGAGGTATAAACAGATAAAGAAAGGAACGTTCTAAAGCGTAGCTCGGTCTAAATTGTCATTTCAGCGTGACAACACTAGCTCGGTCGTTTGGTCACATGATCGAGCTAGGGCCATCTCACTTGGTTTATGCAGTGAGGGGGTGTGAAATGATAAGCATTATCCTTGAGGAGTATGATTCCTAAGAGGACTCTACATGGAAAAATAAGAGTTCTACTAGGATTGTGCCACGCGGAACCTATAAAAGCTCACAACCTCACCTATGGAAAGGTAACACAACTTTGATTCTCGAACACACAGAACTTTTGTCTATTTGGCTGACTTAGGCATCGGAGAGGTATCCGGCACACACTCGCCGGCTAGCTCACATTTGTGTTTTCAGGGAGTAAAGCGACGACGTACGGAGGAGCGCAATCTTGATCAACAGGATTATACGAGAACAATATTTTGTACTCGTACACTCTATATATGGGTGTTAATTTTTTTAAAATCCATAAATTATGGAAGAATGTTTATTATTTAAAATTTTATTTATTTATGGACAAGTCAATTAAATGTTTTTAATTTTTTACAAATAACAAAATTTAAAAATTTTGTTTAAGAAATTAAAAAAAAATGGCCAAATTATAAAAAACAATATAAGACACTTTATTCTATATATAAAAAAAAAATCATAACTATATTATCAATTTACATATATCAAAAGAAATAACAACAATACTATTAAAAATACACAAACATTCACCCAAAAAAAATAAAAATAAAAATAAAACTTCAAATCAACTCCCAAAAGAAATAAAGTCAAACAGATAAATATTTATTATCAATTTAGTTGGAAAAAAATTACATTGAAAAAAAAAAGTCATATAGAGAAAGAAAAAATAAAAATACTCACACGAAAATAGAAATTTGCACACAAAAAAAAAAAAAAAAATCACAAACAAACAAACTTGAAAAAGTTTGGACTATTGGCAAATAGAGAGTTGGTTGGGCTGAAAAAAGATCAAATATTGGGTATTCTAAAGAGAGAATTGAATTAAAATTTTAATTTGATTAGGTTCTGGAAGGTTTAGATTTATATTATTTTCAGAAAGGGTGAAGGTGGGGTGAGGGTAGTTTACCATATTATTTTGAATTTTGAAATTCAGAATTATAGATAGTTAGTGTATTTATTGTTTATTTATTTGAATTGTTTTGATTAATATTATTTTTTGAAAGAGTGATGATAAATTATCATATTATTTTGAATTTTAAAATCAGAACCGATTGGGAGCTCGAATCTGAGCTCCCCCGAATCCCCCTAAACACAAAAACGATCGTTTTTGTGTTTGTTTGTTTGTTTGTTTGTTTTTTTTTTTTTTTTAACAGAAGAAGGAAGAAGAAGACGGAGAAGGGAAGAGGAGGAAGGGGAGGAAGGACTGGAGGGGGCCTAAAAAATGGAGGAGGAGGGGGCGGAGGCGACGAGCGGGGCAGAGCCGACGAGGAGCGGAGGCGACGATCAGAGTAGCGACGGCGACGATCATAGCAGAGCAACGAGGCGACGACGACGAGGCGACGACGACCGAGGCGACGATCTCCCTCTCCTCTTTCTTCTCTCTTTCTCCCTCTCTCTCTCTTTCTCTTCTCTTTCGGGGCATTTGGGGGGTTGGATTCGGGCGAAAAATCTTTTCTCTTTTAAAATTTAAAATCATAGATAATTAGAGTCTTTTTTTTTATTATTTTAATTTTTTGACTTAAGAAACTAACTAATAATTTTTTTTTGTTTTTTTAAAAATTAATAAATTAACAAAATTAATTTAGCCTCCGTTTGGGAAGTGGGTTGACTTTTTGACTTTTTTAGCTATTTTAGCCTGAGCTAAAAAGCTTGGTTTGGAAAGAGCTTTTTGGTTTTTTGACTTTTTTGACTTTTTTTGTGAGAGAAGAGTGTAATGATTATGGATTGGATGTGATGTTTTATTTTTTGTGACTAAAATAACTTATTTTATCTTTTGTGATTAAAATAGCCAAAAAAACCCACTTTAATTCTTCCCAAACGTACCCTTAGAAGTTTGGAGCTACCACAATTAACATTTTTAAAAATCCATTTTTTTGCGGACAAACAAACGACCTCTCCTTTCCCTCCTCACCATTTGGTCCGACGTCTCATTCTGACGTGTAATCGACCCTTTGCCTCCTTTTATCTTTATCTTCTCTCTCCTCATTCCTCTGTCTCTCTTCTTAACATTATATATCCACATTTATATTTGTGTGTAATCTCGATTCATGCACTCAAACCTTCTTACAGATTCACCATTTCTCAGGTAAAATTTGGAGTTCCTCATTTTCTCTGATACATGTTTTCTGGGTTTGTTTTCTCGGTCTCCGAGGTTAGATCTACCATCATTTCCATTTGTTCATCGTGAATCTGATTTATCAGATCGATTTACCCATGTCAGAATGATAATATGCTTAATATTTGGAAAATTTGAAGCTTTTGATATTTTTCCAGGAAATAAAAAATGGTTCTTTGATATGCTCGGATTTAACCCATTTGAATGTGCTTCTTTCTCTATGTGCTATTTAATGGGATTTGATATTTTGGTTCATCAATTTAAATTTAAATCAAAATCTCATGGTCAATCAATCAACACTTTCATTTTCTGATCTTGTTGTTTGAGCTTTTAATGATTTGCTTTCCATTTAATTAATCCGTAGGATTCTAATTGACCTTAGTTGTGTTTCATTAAGTTCTGATTTTTGATTCTTATTTTTTTTTTCTTCCTTTCAAAGCAAATAGCCCTCCAATTAAATTTTCCAGGAATAAAATTTGTTCTTCCATAAGCTGATATTGGATTTGAATATATTTCTTTCTCTGTCTAGGATTTATTGTATTCTGATTCATCAATTTATGTTTAAATCTAGCTGTCTATCAATCAACACTTCCATTTTCTGATGTTGTTGTTTTAGCTTCTAATCATTTGCTTTCGATTTCATTAAACCATAAGATTCTAATTGAATTTAGTTGTGTTTGATTTAATTCTGATCAGTAATTCTCATTTAATGACTTCAGATCTCATGTGCTTGTTCTTTACACTGCGAGCAATTTTAGTGCTCTGAGATTAATCTAACTTGTTTTCATTTTTCAGAAAACACTTTTCAGAAAATTTTACATTCTTATTTTCCGTATTTTTTTGTTTTTACTGAAAAAATTCACTAAATACCAAAAATACAAAAAAATACAAGAATTCAGTATATTTTTTTTTAATTTTTATGTATTTATTAATTTTTTAAAATATTTTTTCACAAATTTTTTACTTTTTTGATACATCTAACTAAGGTGCATCTAAAAAAGTAAAAAAAATATTTAAAATTTTAAAAATATTCACTAAAAACAAAAGAATACGAAAATCAAAAAACTCAATTTTCAAGAAACTTAATCCAGAAAACTCAAACCAAATAGTTCACGTATTTCTCTTGGCCTTGTTTTTATTGCATCATAGCAGAATAGATCTATATTTCATTTGTTTTAGTTTCATTTTTTTTATTGGTTTGTCTTTTGTCTTCTTGTTTTTTTTATTTGGTTGGGGTTAGTGAACCCGACTTCGGCCTTTTGAAAGTTGGGTTCACTGTTTGGGGTTGTTTTGAACTATCAACTGATAAAATTATTCATTGTATTTCCATGTGCATACCATTTCCAAGTATGCGATTACTTTCCTTCTGTATTAGACTTTGACGGGCTTTTGTATGTTGCTTATTAAGTTGTTGAACTACAGCATCTGTGATATTATGGAAACAAATAGTTAAATCAACTTCTTTTATCGTATTTTTTTTCCCGATTATTTCGAGTATCTAGTTTAATTATATGAAGTTCTTGTTCTGTTTTTGTTTGATTTTATTTTACATGATGTTATAATCTACTTTAGGTGTAGTTGAGTTAATTTTCTTCTTTTTAGGTGATTTATTGCAGGTGGTTCTGCACCACAATAAAATGGAAGTTACTGGGGGCTAAACTTGTCAAGTTCTATGGCTTTGGCTGGTAATTGCCCCAATCTTCTGCACGTCCTGATTCTGATTATTAGTTTTTGTTCTTTCCTGTCTTGTTTTCACAAAATCGATGCTTCAACTTTATTTTTGTATGTAGACAATTGGGCAACGTGCGGGGAAAGAAACAATTCAGGGAAAGTAGAAAGTGGCATTACTTTGGGTAAAACAACTAAGAACAACCAACCAACAACTAGAATGGAATTTGAATACGATTGGACAAAACATAGAAAATCATGTGCATTTTCCTGCATTTTCAGCTGGAGTGATCCGTTCAGCAACATCTTTCATGCCTTGGTCTCGTAAAATCCCTATAAACGAAGGATATCATGAATTTCTTTAGTCAAATGCTGGCCATTCAGTTTTCTTGATATTTTCTTTTGAGAGAATTATTTGATCAATGATGAGAGTTGTGCCAATATCTCGCCATTTGCCAGCTTTACAATCTAGATAATACCTGGTCTTGCTTGTGGAAAGAAGAGACTTACAGACTCAAATATGTGTTTCACCAATTCAGTCCAGCAAGATACAGCAACTCATTCAAAAAGCCCTTCCCTTGTAACTTCTCAGACCACTGATGATTTTCACATCTCAATCTTACCCGGTCTGCCTGATGATGTTGCGAAGTATTGCCTTGCTCTTGTTCCTCGTTCCAATTTCCCAGCCATGGGTGGTGTCTGCAAGCGTTGGAGATCATTTATGCAAAGCAAAGAATTCATCACCGTTCGGAAACTAGCTGGCCTGCTTGAGGAGTGGCTCTATCTACTCACTATGGACGGTGAAGGGAAGGGCAGCTACTGGGAGGTCTTGAATTGTCTGGGACAAAGACACTGTGTCCTCCCACCAATGCCGGGCCCCATCAAGTCTGGATTTGCGGTGGCAGTTCTCAACGGAAAGCTTCTTGTCATGGCCGGCTACTCAATGATAGATGGAACTGGCTCTGCCTCAGCAGATGTTTACCAGTATGATTCTTGCCTCAACAGGTTTGTTTCCTGTTGCATTTTTTTCTCTCTATTTCTTTTTACCATGCTTGCACTTTGTAATGTTTTCTAGGATATAATATTTTCATTAGGTAGGTTGGTTGTGTTTGTGGTTGTGGTGTTGGTGTGTAGTGCTGCCATTTCATAGCTAGTGAAGGTTTTTAAAGTAGTGTTTGGTTCATTGGAATGATACTTATATCATTTTTATCTGATTCTATTTTTTAGTTCTAAAGATTAGGACCTAAGTTATATGCATCACAATGATACTCACTTCAATTAGTTTTTTGTGGAAACTGCATATTGTTCTAATCTTGACTTCGATATGCAACTACATTTTTATTCAAGAGATTAGGCCCTATGTTATTCATCATGATGATAACTTTTATGCTTTTCAATTTGTTAGTTGTGGAAACTTTACATTGTTCTTCTGATCTTGACGTCAATACACAACATCATTCTTTGCTGCAGTAAAAATTGCAAAAAGCCAAACCTTGTAAAGACCTATTTTTTCACCACACTTTTTGATAGTTTTGTTACATATTGCAGATGGAGCAAGTTAGCATACATGAATGTGGCTCGCTACGATTTTGCTTGTGCAGAAGTTAATGGCATGGTTTACGCAGTTGGGGGTTACGGGATGGATGGCGAGTCTCTCTCCAGTGCTGAGGTGTACAACCCTGAGGATGACAAGTGGACCTTAATTGAGTCTCTTCGCCGTCCAAGGTGGGGCTGCTTTGCGTGTGGGTTTGAGGGAAAGCTTTATGTTATGGGCGGAAGGTCAAGCTTTACTATTGGGAACTCAAGATTCGTTGATGTATACAACCCTGAGAGGCACGCATGGTGTGAGATGAAAAATGGTTGTGTGATGGTCACAGCTCATGCTGTGTTGGGAAAGAAGCTATTTTGTATGGAGTGGAAGAATCAGCGGAAACTTGCTATTTTCAACCCGGGGGACAATACATGGAAGATGGTACCGGTTCCTGTTACCGGGAGCTCAAGGATTGGTTTCCGATTTGGGACACTGGATGAAAAGCTTTTATTGTTCTCGCTAGAGGCGGACCCTGGCTATCACACCCTGTTGTATGACCCGAATGCATCCTCGGGCTCAGAGTGGCAGGTTTCTCAGATAAAGCCGTCTGGTTTGTTCTTGTGCTGTGTCACAATCAAGGCATAAGACGAGTACGTTTGGATTAGGTAAGGACACCTATTACTTCTCTTGCTGTCTGAATTAAACATTGATTTCTCCCTGATTTCATTGTTCTTTCTTTTCTTTTCTTTTCTTTGGCTGGAGTGACAATTTTTTTGACATTTTGTTATCAAGTTTTATATTATCCATTTATGAATTATTACCAACTTTACTGCACTCTCTGGGTGTTGTGGATAAGACAGGTATCTTTGTAAATACTTTTTCATTGCTGTACTTGATCTGAAAAATCAGCTCAATTGGTGATTTTGAACTTTTTCACTGCTTTTCTTTTTTTAAATTTAAAAATATTTAAAATATTAAAAATGAAAATGATATCAAACAGTTTTTGAATGTTTCTACTGATAAAATAAAAATCTCTGAAATGGACAATGTTCAGAAACATAGCTGACTACTGAAAGTGATGATAATGCACTTGAACAAGAATAAAGGAGACTAGCTTTCATCACTAGAAAATGCAGAAAAGAAATGCCATCTCCTAGGGTGTTCGCGGCCCAGTTGTTGTTGGACAACCTTCAATCCGTCATCCGTCTGTCGGATTGGAAAAAATCAATCCTCATCCGTTTGTCAGACTGACGGATGTGAATTGAGCGGATTGGCGAATGGATGCGAATTGGTTTAGCGGTTTAAACTTTTACAAATTTTGAACATAATATAACTTGTCAACATTTTTTTTTGGATAACAATCCAACTCAATATAATCAAAAGATTATCAAGTAAATTGTCAAATATTAATAATATATACATATAAGAAAATCATGTATTATCAAAACTATTTCATTGCTTTTTTTTTTTACTAAAAAACTATTTAATTTGATTTTTTTTTAAAAACGATAAAATTAAGTCATATTTTTTACAAAAAAATATCAAATATCAACACTTGTCATTTGATAGAAGGATTTTCAAATTGAAAACAAAACAGAATATTTAAACACAAAATTTTATAAATTATTAGGAGTGCTCGTGGTTTGACGGTTTGGTTGTGTGTAAAGGAACCTTAAATTTGTCATTCGTCTAAAATTAGGTGAATTAGAAAAAATCAATCTGCAACTATTTGTTTGTCATTATATATCCGTTCAAAATATAGCGAATCAATTCAGTTCGATCGATTTAGACAAATTGAGATATCCGTTACTCGTTCAAAAGCATGGTTATTTTGTATGTGTTGAATTTTTTTGTAAGTTTCTGAGTCATGAAGTGGATATTAAGAATTTTCCGATGTATCAAAGAAAAAATATATATATATATATCAAGAAATTTGACAACACTGCTGCTTTTTAGTATAAGTAGGATATATAAAAAACATAAAGAGAGAAATATTTTTAATTTTTTTTAATGGAAAGAAGGTATTTTTTTTGGATAAAAAATATTACAATATGAGGTAATGACAATGTAAGGCGACGTTGCAGAACCCAATACTAAGAAAATAAGATATATATATATATATATATATATATATATTAGTGATTGACACACATAATATTTGTGCAAGTCAAATAAATAAATATACAAAATATTTGTTATATGTTATATGCAACTCAAATGATAAGAGCTTTGTTTATCAAATTTGTGTTCTTAAGTTCTAGTCACATTCTTTTTTCTTTTTTTTTTCTCTCTCTCTATATATATATTTCTTTTTTGTGAATAGAATTTTTTTTTTCTTGCTGTGAATAGAAAATTGGATACTCTATATTTCTTTTTTGTGAATAGAATTTTTTTTTCTTGCTGTGAATAGAAAATTGGATACTTGCATAGAGAGAGAGAGAGAGAGAGAGAGTTTGAAGATACCAAAATAAGTGCTCACATATATAAAAAAATATTACAATATAAGGTAATGACAATATAAGGTGAAGTTGGAGAACCCAATACTAAGAAAATAAGAGAAATATATATATATATATATATATATGTTAGTGGTTGGCATACGTAATGTTTGTGCAAGTTAAATAAATTAATATAAGGGGCTATTTGGGATGACATAAATAAGTATACTTTTATCTTTTTACGAAAAGATGTGTAGAAAAGTAAAGAGGTGATGTGATGAAAAAAAGATAAAAAAATAGATTATTTTGATGTTGCCAAACTTGGCCATATAGAAAATATTTGCTGTATGTGATATGCAATTCAAATGATAAGAGCCTTGTTTATCAAATTTGTGTTCTTAAGTTCAGTGGCAGAGCCAAGAAATTAAATCAGAGAGGGCACTTATTAATTATAACATTGAAAATTTTTACAAAAATATTTCATATAAATTTTTACAATTGACTTCAAGAAATATATTATTTGTAACTAGTATATTATAGACAATATAAAAAAAAGTCATGAATATAAGTTTTAAAATAAATTATATAATGATAAAGTAATTTTTAATACAAAATTTCAGTAAAAATTTAATATAATAGTAATATCACGTCACCATTGACATATGATATCACCAACCAATAGTAAAGAAACACATAGAGGATGAACCATAAATGTCAAATGTAACTAACAATTCAATAAATTTCATATATTTATTCAGATTAATTATAATTATATATCAATAATAATAGACATCACCATTATATTGAAATTTTCATAGATAATAATATGACTTATTGTAATATCTTTATTTTCAATAAAAAAAACAACCATTATTATTTTCATAATTCTAAAAATGTTATTGATATTTCACTATAAATAATATTTTATAATTTTTTTATTTAAAATATTTTCTTTATGTTTGTAAAAAAAAAAAAAAATCAAAAACCCAGTTGGGTAGAGAAATTTGTCCCAAGCATGCCAATGCATGTCTTTGCTCACTGCCACACTCCATGCCTACATGCATAGATGGCAATTTCAATCCTTTATCAAGGTTGCAGTGAATAGAATTTTTTTTTTCTTGTTGTGAATAGAAAATTGGATACTTGGAATAAAGAGAGAAAGTTTGAAGACACCAAAATAGATGCTCACATATATAATAATATAGATATAGATATATTACGGGCAAAAAAGTAAATTGACACAAATATAATGGTAAATATGTATTTTCACGTAATCTCAAAGGGAAGGCAATTGTAATTAGATGCCAATTGTAAATTTTGCAAAACTTTATATTTCACGATCTCCCATATATTTTATTGGAAAAATAAAATAGTATAACAACAAATCATAATGACATTCAACAACCTAATATTTCAACAGCAAAACGTGCCAATCTAGTCTTTCACAACAAGGCGACGGACGGAATTGTCATGAAGTGATTTATTAGTCGATTAATAGATCACTTCGGAAAGGCATATACATTACACATCCTTGACTAAGTAAAGACTTTGGGTATGTTTGGTTTGTGTTTGTGGAGTAATTTTTGAGACAAAAAGTACGAAAACTTGTTTGGTTGGTCTTTTTTAAGAAATAGTTTTGAAAAATTATTTTGAGAAGAGAGTTTTAAAAAAAGTGATTGATTTGATGTGTATGAGAGAGAAAGCGATTTTAGAAAGTAGGTAACCAAACAAAATTTTGAGATTTTTTTGAAAAAATTTGTTTGGTTTGATTACTCTTAAAAATTTGTTTGTAGAGAATTTTTCTCAAAAATTTTTCTAAAAAACAAACTGTGAGGGAGATTTATAATCTGGCTTTGGGCCGTGGTAGAAGCTGGGCGAATAAGACCGAGCATGTTGGGCCGAGTTAATTTGGGCCAGTCTAGAGTGGATTTTGCCTAGTTGAGTCTCGGGCCCCCTGTTTAGGCCGAGCTAACTGAGGCCTCCTTGGAGCTGATCTTGCTCGGTCGAGGCTTAGGCCCGAGGTCCAGGTCTAATGTTTGAACCGAGCTTACTTGGCCGAGATGACCGCCTGCCAACCCGGGTTCCATGGGTCGCACGCGTAGCTCGGCGGAAATGTCTTCTGTTCACTGGCCGACCTATCTTGAACTCGGCTATGCCGGAATGCTTCCGAGCTCGGCTATTATGGAGCTTGGTGAGCGGAGCACTCAGGCACGTTGCGCACCACAGTCATGGGAAGCCGAGGTGATGTCGCCGGGATGTCGAGCTCCCGCTAATGTAGTCTGGCAGTTTGGTTAGGTGGTGTCTGCTGGATTTGTGCTGATAGATAGGAAAGCAGCTCCACGTGTTAAGAGACCAATGAGAGTGGATTTGAGCGCAGAAAGTATATAAGCGTGACTGCGCCCCCATGCTGGGGATGGAACATCATTTGGTAAAATACTCATTGCGATATATCTCTCTGTTCCTCTCTCTCTCTCTCTCTCTTTCTCTGAATGTGTGTGCTAACTTGACCGTCGGAGGGGTTTTCCGGCCACACACCGCTGGGTAGCTTACCGCCGTTGTGCTCGCAGGTCGATCGGACGGACAAGGAGCTTGGACGAAAGGAGTATGGGCTCCGAGGAATATTTGCTCCTCGTACAATTGACGCCGTCTGTGGGAACTCCTTGCAGACAAAACCTTGTTTTCCAAGCTCATCCGATCACTTTCCATGCGAACAACGACGAAATACGTTGTCCGCCATCGACGGTGTTACCCCGGAATCAGCCAGATGGAGAGACGGACTCCCCACCTGGAAACTTCCTCAAGAGGACTTCCGAGAGATGCACGAGATAAGCGCTCTAGAAGTTTCGGTCGCTCACGGAGCCCAGAGGGACACTGGTGGCGAAGAAAATCGCATGCTCGACGTCTGGAACATAAGTTAAGGGATCAAGACACCGTCATCCAGAGAATGGCGGCAGAGGTGGAAGCGCTCAAACGCCAGGTCAAAGGGAAGGGTGTTGCTAGAGTGGGAGACCACAGTGAACGCACCCAACCCCGCCGTTCAGGCAGCCAGAGCCAGCGACGCACTCCTTCCTTTTCTATCACCAAAAGTTATAGGGGTGGAAACCTAGACACGCCAGCAGAAAAGTCAAGCGCATAAGATAGTACTACCATCCTTCACGTCCGGCGACCACTTTGGGATATTCTTACTCCATCTGTTCAGAGGACCTGCGGGATGTCCTGAAGGAGTGAGCTCGCCGGCGAGAGACTCAAAGGGTGCCGGTGTTCCAACGACTATCTTATGGGGGTCACGCCAGTGAAGAGGTCATAATGCCACTGCCCCGCTCAGCCGTGCCTCTCCTTCTAGACACAGATTTGGTGAGGCTGAACGCCACCCCATTCTCCCTTGAGATAGAAACCACACCACTCCCCGCGGGCTTTCACCAGCCCAAGTTTACGCTCTACGACGAAAAGACCGATCCATACATGCA